CCGAAAGTGTCTTGGGTTGGCACGAATTGAGACTGGATTTGTCACTCCGTGTAAACGGAGAGGTATCTCTGGGCCCACTCGGTAGGACATCATCATAATGTGCACAATGTGACCAAGGAGTTGATCACGGGATGATGTGTTACGGAACGAGTAAAGAGACTTGCCGGTAACGAGATTGAACAAGGTATCGGGATACCGACGATCGAATCTCGGGCAAGTATCGTACCGCTGGACAAAGGGAATTGAATACGGGATTGATTGAATCCTCGACATCGTGGTTCATCCGATGAGATCATCGTGGAACATGTGGGAGCCAACATGGGTATCCAGATCCCACTGTTGGTTATTGGCCGGAGAGTTGTCTCGGTCATGTCTGCATGGTTCCCGAACCCGTAGGGTCTACACACTTAAGGTTCGATGACGCTAGGGTTATTAGGAAGACTTGTATGTGATTATCGAATGTTGTTCGGAGTCCCGGATGAGATCCCGGATGTCACGAGGAGTTCCAGAATGGTCCGGAGGTAAAGATTTATATATGGAAAGTTGTTCGGGTTCCGGGAAAAGTTCGGTTTTTCCGGTATTGTACCGGGAAGCTTCCAGAAGGTTCCGGAGGATTCCGGAGGTCCGGAAAATGTTCCACCACATCCGATACATCAGCATGGGCTGTAGGGGGGGGGGCGCCCTAACCTTAATGGGCCAAGGGCACCAGCCCCCCCAAGGCCCATGCGCATGGGAGAGGGGAAACCCTAAGGGGGAGGGCCTCCACTTGACTTGGGAGGCACTCCTCCCCCCCTTGGCCCCCGCCCCCAACCCTAGATGGGATCTAGGGGGCCGGCCCCCTCTCTCCCCACCTATAAATAGTGGAGGGGTGGGAGGGCGGCCACACCCTTGAACCTGGCGCAGCCCTCCCTCCTCCTACACCTCCTCCTCCTCCATAGTGCTTGGTGAAGCCCTGCTGGAGAACCACGAGCCCCATCACCACCATGCCGTCGTGCTACTGTTGGACTCTCTTCCTCAACCTCTCCCTCCTCCTTGCTGGATCAAGGCGTGGGAGACGTCTCAGTTCCGTACGTGTGTTGAACGCGGAGGTGCCGTCCGTTCGGCGCTAGGATCATCGATGATTTGGATCACGACGAGTACGACTCTATCAACCCCGTTCGCTTGAACGCTTCCACTCAGCGATCTACAAGGGTATGTAGATGCACTCTCCTTCCCCTCGTTGCTAGATTACTCCATAGATTGATCTTGGTGATGCGTAAAAATTTTTAAATTTCTGCTACGTTCCCCAACATGTGTGCCCTAGAAGACCACAAACGAAACAGAACTTAGGAATTTTTCATAGAACACTTGGTAGAACACCTTCTCTTCATTCTTTGTGATTGATAGAAACCTGGACAGGGGCTTGTTCACATCAAGTTTTACCCTAACCCTCACAGACTTCCCATCTCCGCGAGGAGAGAGATTTACATACAAAACCTCCCCAACTCTCTTGCACCATGCTTCGAGGACCTCCTTCCTCCTGTATCCCGGGGGTAGGTTTTGGATTTGTATCCAGACAGAGATCTTATCAAGAATTACCAGGTCCAACTTCTGAAAACCATCATATGGCCCAATGAGAACACCATTATCCCGGAACAGCCACGGACCCTGTTCAGTAACTCTCTTCCAATCTCCCAGACAATTAACAGTGAGCACGAACAAGTTCTCGCCCACCGGCTTGAAATTCACGTCCTGGGCCAGACTCCACGCCGCCCTCATATGTGTATAGAACGATTCCCTTGAGAAAGGTTTGGTTGTGTGTACACGGCAGATCGCCATGAACTCTGCCTGCGGAGATGCATCCGGGAATTCCTCATCATAATTCAGATCGTCATCTTACTCGTCCTGTAGATCTAGGCGCATGAGGAGATCATCAATGGGGGCCTTCCCATCTCTTCTTCCTCCTGAGACTCTGCTCTGGCTGCTTGCTCCCGATCCATTGCTTGCCATGGCAAAAAAACCTAGATTGGTTCCCCTCGCGCCCTCCACCGAGAGGTCAGAGTGCCAAGTAGAGATGGCAGTCTCGATCCCGATAGCAGGCACCCCGACGGGGCTTCGCTAACTCGCAGGTTAGCAGGAACTCTGGCAAATCGCCAGAGGAGTCAAAACCCTAGACGTCGCCGCCAGGGGAGTTCCGAGCTACATATTTTGTCCATTCTTTTTCTACCCTTCTAGTAGTTGCTGTGAACCGTAACTAACAAGCCAGAAATCGGAGCTACATATTTAAAAGTAAATTAAAGGCAAGACTTTGACATGTTGCTAGTACGTATTACAGTTGACCAGTGCATGTTACACAACACCATCCATGTGTGTGGTCATGCTGTAGCCCACATCCACGCAACGACAAGAAAATATCTACAGATTCTTGTAGCATATCCATTCACATTGGGTGAAGGGGAGAAAAATAATATCCATTCGTTTTGAAATAAGTGTCTTAACTTTGTACAAATTTGTACTAAGCTTAAGACACTTAGAGTATCTCCAATAGCATGTGTATATTTAGATATCTATATATTCATATAGATAATGGTATAAAAAGATTCCTTCATATACATATCCAGTTTTACATCAAAA